TGACAACATACGTTCAGAGATCGGGAGATACTCATCTTTTTACAACAAAAAAAAACATACCAAACCATCGATGATTACCTTCTCAAAAGTTGAAACCAAACTTTTTGATTATAAAAATTGATTAGTGGTGAAAATAGTGAAACCATAAATACAAAAAAAAAAAAAAATCAAATTTGTACATATAAACTATAAGATTACCTGTTTATTCATTGAATTAGGTCCAAATTTTCCATACACCAGTTCACATCGTCCCCTCCATACATCCACCCTACAATAAAAAGAAAAATTAAAATTAGGTAGAAGCAAAAAAAAGTTTGAAAAAAAGAACAAAAAAAACAAGGGTTAGTTATGATCTGAAATTGAATACCATGAGCAAGGTATTTATATTGAATAGGAGGCGGTGCATGATTTAGGGTTTCTAAATTTTTCGACGATAAATACAAAAAGAGAAAAGAAAATTTACATATTTTAATAAGCAAATCAGTATCATAATAATAAATATTTGTAAAACTGTCATTTATTCATTGTTATCCATGTTTATTTAAAATAATATTTACTTTTTTCCGTAAAAATATGGAATAATAACAACTATTTTAGATTTACTACTATATCTGATACTATCTTATAAAATATATTAAAATTTAAGGGAAAATTCTTTTCTGTTTCAAAAATAAGGCGGAACAATAATATAATTTTTTATTTACAATAGATAGACATGCATGGTATCCATATGCATCATGTCACGCTGATCCATATTTTTTTCCAAAACTCGATCTAATTGCTATTATGTGCAAAAATCACCGCCGTTCACGTTCATGTTCACGTTAGCACTCCATACCTTAATTCACATGTAAACCTCTCTGCCTATCTCTGACTTCAGCTCTCTCATCTTCGAGTCTCCCCAAAAAAGTTTTGACACCACACCAACATTTCATTCGTCAAAATTAAATCGAGTTTGCACAAGGTTACAACCGATTAATAGGTGGTCTTCTACCTTCTATTTACGATTTTATGCTATGAATATATGTTTTTGTCAGGGTTCAAGTCAATCTCCGGATTAGAGACTTATAATCATCCGACGAACAATACGATGGCGTGATAACCGTTTCTAAATTGGTGGGTTCTCTTTCATTGATCTACATATTATTTTTTTTGTTCGTTTTTTTTTCCAAATATTTAGATTGAAACGACGACGAACACGACGATCATACCAAAAATTTCATCTATTCCGGTACATTTGATCTTTATTTTAATTAGTTTAACAATTAATAGCCGTTTACGATTAATTTCGGATATCTAAATCTTATTAATTTGAGTAAGGTTAGAATAGTATTCTTTTATGTTTATATTAATGCTCTGATTAATAATTTTCGGATTTTTGACATTATCATCTTAAATATATCAATATTATAATAAATATTTTCCTTTTCCGATTTTTTTTTTTTTGGTATAATTCCTTTTCCGATAAATTATGAAACAGATCTGTTTACACAAAAGGTAAAAAAGAAAAAAAAAAAAAAAAAAAAAAAAAACCCATCAACCGTCTCCATTCACACGTTTCTTCATTATGATCACGAATTCACGTTCATGGAAGCTTCATCATACATTAACACTTACAAGTTTCTTCGTCGAGTTTTTATCCAAGGTTTCTTCGTCAACTCTGTATCCAAGGTAATAAATATTTGTTCTTTTCATTGGTTAGAATTAAGGGTTCAGGATAGTATTGACGTCTTAAAGACATAACATGGGCAAGATACTATGAGAAGCTTGACTATTCTGCTTCGACAGATCAACAGGTGAAATTTTATCACTAAATTATTAGATCTCTGTTATTGCTATGAATCTATGCTTTATGTTAGGATTTCAAGTTTTGCATTCGTTTAGAAGAATTATATTCACACGACGAAGAACACGATGAATTCAATTAAAGCTTCCTAACTGGTACTTCGTTGTTCCTTTTTTTTTTTTTTGTTAATTATCATGTTTATTGTTTCCAAATTTATTTTTTCCTGGTTAATTCCGAAATTCAATTTAATTTTTCCAAAATTAATTAGATTTCATTAAGAGTAATTAAGTAATTACGTAAAATCAAGGACTCAACAAGAGCCGAGAGTCCGACACGTCAGCAAAAACACTTCTCAAATATTGTTATATATAGAATATAGATTTCTTCGTCGAGTTTTTATCCAAGGTTTCTTCGTCAACTCTGTATCCAAGGTAATAAATATTTGTTCTTTTCATTGGTTAGAATTATAGGGTTCAGGATAGTATTGACGTCTTAAAGACATAACATGGGCAAGATACTATGAGAAGCTTGACTATTCTGCTTCGACAGATCAACAGGTGGAATTTTATCACTAAATTATTAGATCTCTGTTATTGCTATGAATCTATGCTTTATGTTAGGATTTCAAGTTTTGCCTTCGTTTAGAAGAATTATATTCACACGACGAAGAACACGATGAATTCAATTAAAGCTTCCTAACTGGTACTTCGTTGTTCCTTTTTTTTTTGGTTAATTATCATGTTTATTGTTTCCAAAATTATTTTTTCCTGGTTAATTCCGAAATTCAATTTAATTTTTCCAAAAATTAATTAGATTTCATTAAGGGTAATTAAGTAATTACGTAAAATCAAGGACTCAACAAGAGCCGAGAGTCCGACACGTCAGCAAAAACACTTCTCAAATATTGTTATATATAGATGGAAACACTATAACACCACAAACATGTAAAACATTGTTTCCTGTCATTTTGCTGAAATATAAAACATTGTTACCGATATTTGTCCAAAACAAAACTGAGCAAATAAAACTTCTCATCATGTGTTAGAATCTCCAACTCCTGAACTACTTGCCATCTTTGTAGCATCATTATCTTCTTCATCAAAAAGTTCTTCGATGTCTCCTGCAATTTAATGATACAAGTTAAATTAAGAGAATGATTGCATATCAATTAAATATCATCAAACACGCATGGAAATTTAATGATATAAGTTAATAACTTCATATTACAATTTTACCTTCAAGATCTGCATATCCACGAAGCCAATTGCGGGTGCAAATTAATGCTTGAACATTTTGGGGAAGAAGACGATTCCTAAAAGGATTTAACACCCGTCCTCCAACGCTGAAAGCAGACTCTGATGCTACTGTGGTGATTGGGATACTAAGCAAATCAGATGCCATTGAAGCTAAATCACCATACCTATGTTGATTCTCTTTCCAAAAGCTTAAAATTTCCATGTCAGAGAAAGTCTTCATCTCTAATCTTGGTTCATCATCCAAATAGATTTCCAAAGTTGACTTGGTACTTTTTGAAGCAGATATGAGGCTACTTTCAAGCTCAAAAAGATCCTGTAAATACACAAATACACACAAAATTAGTTAAACGAAAACAAGAACTAGTGAAAGATATTCAAATATATTGTTATACTTACATCATTCACATCTGCTTCAAGTGGCGATTCATTGAGAAGCTCGTGTGGAGTAAGTGTGGTTGAAGAGTTCGAAGAACTTGCAGATTTAGTTTGGTATTCTTTATAAAGCGAAATTAGATTATTCCTCACAATATCAACCTTTCCCTCGGCCGTGACGGGATCCACTTTGTCATAAGCTGACCTAAGTATCTGCAACTTTAGTCTTGGATCTAAGGCAGCTCCCATAGCTAGAATAACACTATATTCATTCCAATACTTTGCAAATTTCCTTTGCATCTTCTTAGCCATTTCTCTCACATCAACATCATTACAATTAGCATATTTCTTCAACAACAACTCAATTTTCCACACTTGAATGAAATAAATATTGGCTGTGGGATATTTCACTCTCAGAAGTCATCTCTCGATCAACTTTATGATCATACTTAGGTCTAGCTTCAGGCTGAGGCCTTTCGGGGCAAAGTGTTAGATGGCGGTTCATTGTTGATGTTCCATATGACTTTTCTACTACCAACTTAATACCACAATGGTGACATCTAGCCCTTTCTTTTCCATCTTCCTCTATTCCTACGGATGTAAATTCGTTCCAACACAAAGCTTTCTGTTTTTTACGTACCCGTTTAGCTCGTTGACATGGTTGAGTGACACTTTCTGCTGGTTCTGCCCTTGAGTTTCAACTTCAGCATTCATCTCCATCTCCGTGCGTTCATTTTCAGCTTCTAGAAGAGCAATTCTTTCCAGTGACTGCTGATCCATACTACATAACAAATTTTAATTACATCAACATAAAGTCATAGCTAAGTCTTAAATAAAGACTTGAGTAAAATCCACCAAAATCTAACACCAACCTAAACCCACCAAAATCCTTCAATAAAAATGCCAACCTTTGTGTAACTTTGTCCCAACAGTGATAACGAAAAAGTTCCTCTCTGTGTAAACCTATGTAACACAAAAAACGTAGGAATATTGAGATTTTATTCGAATCATTCGAATAAGTAATTAAGATCAGCGTACAACATTGAAAAGAGTCAATTGTAGATGCCAGATATATATCAATTGATAGTATTTTAGCCCATAACAATTTAAGTATAGCCCTATCTTAACCCGAAATCTTTGATTTAATTTTATCAGGGTTAGAACTTATACTTTTTTTAACGGACTCGGACCGGCCCTAAGTTATAAGCCCATATTAACATCCCTAGTTGTTCATAGGTCCCAATCGGCACAACAGCTTTGGAAGGTCTCGTTTCAAATAGATTCCTCTTACTTTTCTTTTCGTTGCTTAATTAGTTAAATTGTTCAGATAGTGGAATTATATTTGCTCATCACCTGAAATTGCGTTGACTTACTTCATTCATTGATCACTTAGAAGTAGAAATATGAAATTTTCTTGAAAGATTAGTTACCGTTTCATATTTGGCTAAGCTTGAAGTTTTTGGGTTGTTTTGAGGTAATGCATATCTTTCTAGTTCAAGAGAGTATGTGTTTGTTGGACCCAAAGACTTTTGGTAGAACGAAAATCTTGCAAAAAATTCATGGTTTTTTTATAGAGATCTTTAGCATTGTGCCAAAACAACTCAAGAAAATGTAGTCCTCAGATTATTTGTTACAGTGATCACCCATTTTAAACAATTGCTTCTTCAAGTACTCAGAGAGTCACTTTGATTTAGAAAAGCTATTCGTGTCGTGATACTCCAAAAAGCTATTAATGGTCATGCAACATGTTCACAGTCTTGTTATGACCTGAAGAAATTGAGAATCACAGTAACTTGTTAGAAAGGACTCTTAATAAGTGATCCAACTTGTTCATTGTTTCTTTCTTACAAGTTGCCATTGTTTTTTTCTTCATAAAATAGACAAATGTTTCCAACTTGCTCTTATGAAAGTCATATTTGTGTAATTATTCAGCTTGTTGTTCAGATAGGAAAGAATCTCTTCCTGTTGAAAAATGGGTTGAAATAATATCTTCTCATTGATCTTCTGGCTTGTCTCTGCGCAGTTATGCTTGGACAAGTTTGGAACTTTTAGGCCAGATGGTATACTTTAGACAGGAACGGTCAACCTATTCTCTCATCTCTTGCATCTGAAGTCACAGCTAAAAATGGCTTCTACAACACTTCGATTAAGACTGATCCTGAACAAGTCTACGCGATGGGGTTGTGAATCCCAGGTGCTAAACAAAAGCTTTGTTGGGATTTTATCAAGGTCCAAGGATGCATCAGACCAGTTAATACAGAGATGAGCCAACCAGAGAGCAGCATTTCACACTGGTCAGGTAGAGGTAAAACCTCTATGTAAGGCAAGCTACTATAACCGGCTCTTTTAGACCAGTGGATTTGGATTCAGTTTCTGTTTGTTTTATAGTTGGAGATGTCAGCACATATTTAACAGCTTTTTGATGAGTTATTGGAGGGATTGTCAGTTCGTATGGTGACTGATGTCTGATGATGACTATGTAACACCTGTTTACAACAAAGTGTTGATGACTATGTGAATTGCTGTCGTGGGAAGCAAGGCGGCTATGTGTATCCGCCTAATAGTATTTTCGGTGGGATCTGTACCCTTTCAATGGTGCTTTTGATTTTCTTAAGTTAACGCCTCCTCGAGCATCTCAGCTGCAATCTACATCTCCCCCATGATCAATAAAGGTAACACACAACTGTTTACATCAACTGGTTTAGCGGAAGGCAAGTCTATGACAAAGAGAAATAAAGGGACAGAGGAGATGATTAAGTTAGTGTTTTAGTTTTGTTTAAAGGATATTTAGTCTGGGACTGTCATTGTTGTGAATCAAATAGGAGATGGGAACGCTGAGAAGTGTCAGAAACGGAGAAGACGAGAAGCTACACCAAGTGTTTCGAAACACATGGTGAAGGATAAAGAGATGATTGCAGTCTCTTGGAAAAATTGAGTAATTGATTACGAAGAAGAAGAGCACCAACTAGGTTTTGACGACTCTCTTTGATTCCAAAGATATGGTTAGAAAGAAGCCTTCCGTGACACCAGTTCCTTGACCTTGATTTGCTGTGAACTACAGCTTTTTAACGTGGAAACAACGGCAGGTTAGATACAATGAAACCTATGATAAACGACGACGGTTTTGATGAAAGTGAACGACAGTGTTTCGTAAATAACACGATGACGTTTTGGATAAGAAACGACATCGTTTCGATAACAAAGCAAACGACACCGTTTTACTGAATTCAAACGACAACGTTTAATTTTGAAACGACACCGTATTTATAAAGTGAAACGACAGCGTTTTCATTAGAGAAACGACGACGTTTGGATAAGTATCAAAACGACAACGTTTCAATAAGCAAACAAACGACACCGTTTTCCTTAACTGAAACGACAACGTTTTAAGTTTGAAACGACAACGTTTTCATAAGAGAAACGACGACGTTTGGATAAGGAAAGAAACGACACCGTTTGATAACAACCGAAACGACACCGATTTAATTAACTGAAACGACAACGTTTTAAAATTTTGAACGACGCCGTATTAGAATTAAGAAACGACAGCGTTTTTAATTAGTTAAACGACAGAGTTTTGATTAAGGGAACGACGACGTTTCGATGATATTAAACGGCAACATTTTGATACTGTGTTCTGATAATATTGCAACGACGCCGTATTAAGAGTATTGAACGACGGCGGTTTGATGCGGATGCAACGACGCCCTTTTTGTTTGCTGAAACGTTTGCGATTATAATGGTACGGAACGACAGTGTTGTGATAGCTTGGCGTTTGGATTTGGATTACTCGAAAACATTGTTGAAGACGATGATGGTGTTTCCCAATTTCTCTTGAACTTCACGGGAATGGCCATGTCTGGGAATCTCACGGATGAAATTCCTGGTGGGGAAAGAAATCAGAGAAATAATATAACTTGTCATGAAGAAGAGCACAAGGGTTTTCAGATTGGTGGGCTTGAGCCAAAGGGTTTTGCTCATGGAAGTGTTTGAAAAAGATTGGTTCTTGTGAAGATTAGTGAAATTGCGCAAAAGGGTTTTGCTCATGTAAGTGTTTGAGAAAGATTAGTTCTTGTGAAGATGCTTTGGATAATAATTTAATATGGTAACAAATGTTTTTGCAACATAGCTAGTGAGGTTGAGGCTTCGTAGTATCTGGTTTAAGAATTGTTTGTGATAGAGACTAAAGGAGCCATTGTTGGCCATATTAAGAATTAAATCGTTTATAGACATGACTTGTATAAGAAGAGTGCTTCAGTTTCCAAATCATCTTCTGCTTCAAAGTAAACTATTATTAATCACTTTGATTAGGTGACTCTTTTTCTTTTCTCTTCAAGTTAGATTGATGACTTTTGTGTTTTGTGCTGTTTCTTTTCTGATTTTGGAATTCTTTGGTCAGCTGCAACCACTCGTTTTCTGTCAATTCGATGGAAGTGTATGCTGTAACTCCCGGGAAGTCTTGAAGTTGCAGAGACAGTTTAATGCAGTCAAGGTATTACTTTGCTCGGTAAGGCCGATATACCAAACAATAACACATATGTTCATCTAGTTTGGCTTGATGGCGAAACATTATGCTATTAGATTACTTGGATGCTATGGTTCTGTTCATGACTTTTATAACCTCTCTAGTTATCAGTTGATGATTATTCCCTTTTCTGGTTGCACAAGTGTCGTTCTTTCGCAGCAGAGCTTTTTCGTGTTGAGTCATAATATTTCCATAGGTAATGCGTATCTTTCTGGTTCAAGCGAGCATATTTTAGACCGAATAGCTTTTGTTGTGTTCTATAATTTATAAAACAACTCTAGAAAATGTAGTCCTCAGATTTATCACAGTGATTATCCATCTCAATCAATCGCTTTGATATAGAAAACACTATTCATGATACCCCAAACAACTATTAATGGTCCTGCAACATGTTCGGAGTCTTGTTATGGCCTGAAGAAGTACTTGAGAGTCATACTTGTTGGAAATGACTCTTTAGTGGTCCAGTTCTCAAACATGTTCATAATTTCTTTCTAACAAGTTGCCATTATTTATTTATTTATATTCTCTATCCATATAATAAAATAAAGTTTACAACTTGCTCTTATGAAAGGCATGTTTGTGTAAGTTATTCTATATTCAGCTTGTTGATGAGACACTAAAGAAACTCATCCACTCCACTTTTGGAAAATGTGTCGAAAGAATTTGTTCTCATTGGTCTTCTGGGTTGTCTCGGTGAGCTTAATTGTTGTTGTCTCTGCACAGTTATGCTCGGAGAAGTTTGGAACTTTTACACCAGGTGGTACATTTGACAGGAACCGCCGACTCATTCTCTCATCTCTTCCATCTGAAGTCACAGCTCAAGATGGCTTCTACAACGCTTCGATTGGAACAGATCCTGACCAACTCTACGCGATGGGGATGTGCATCCCAGGCGCTAAACAAAAGCTTTGTAGGGATTGTATGAAGGACGTCACAAGAATGTTAATACAGACATGTCCCAACCAGATAGCAGCAATTCACTGGTCAGGTGGAGGGAAAACTGTATTTATGGCACGCTACTATAACCGGCCGTCTTCTAGACCATTGGATTTGGATTCAGTTGCTATTGGTTATAACGATGGAAATCTCAGAACAAATTTAACAGATTTTGATAGATTGTGGGAGCGGTTAGTAGTTCATATGGTGACTAAAGCTTCGTCATCATCAATAAAATATTTATCATTCGATAACAGTAGATTCTATGCAGCTGATGAAGCAAACTTGACAAGTTTTCAAATGATCTACGCCTTAATGCAATGCACGCCAGACGTCTCTCCTTCCAACTGTAACACCTGTTTAAAACGAAGTGTTGGTGACTATGTGGGTTGCTGTCATGGGAAGCAAGGCGGCTATGTGTATCGGCCTAATTGCATTTTCCGGTGGGATCTATACCCTTTCAATGGCGCCTTTGATCTTCTTACGCTAGCGCCTCCACCCTCATCTCAGCTGGAATCTCCACCTCCCCAGACCAAAAAAGGTATGTGACATACTTAGATAAATAATATAAATAAGTAAATTTTAGAACACTGTAAATAACCCTTCTTGTATTCAACTCTAAGAAGAGGTGATTTGGTCTTGCACAGATGAAGAAACGATTCATCCAGGAATTACCATTGGAATTGTCGTTGCAACGGTCATAATCATGGCTCTGCTTGCTCTAGGGGTTGCTGTTTGCAGGAGTAGAAAAAAATATCAAGCTTTTGCCTCAGAAAGTGAGTTCCTCTTGTTTTCTTTCCTATCAGCTGGTCTTGCTGCTAATTTACGAAAGAATTCCACCTTAAAACGACCTATTTCATTGTGCAGCTGCCGATGATATTACAACTGTCGGATATCTTCAGTTTGATATTAAAGACATTGAAGCTGCAACTAGTAACTTTTTGGCGAGTAACAAGATTGGTCAAGGTGGTTTCGGCGAAGTTTACAAGGCATTTGCTCCTAAACTACTTAAGTTGTTTCTGTGTTATATATGTTTGAAGATATTAAGATGATTCGTTAGCTTAAGTTGTAATATGCAGGGTACCTTCTCAAATGGAACTGAAGTTGCAGTAAAGAGGCTGTCAAGAACTTCAGATCAAGGTGAACTGGAGTTCAAGAACGAGGTGCTTCTGGTAGCAAAGCTTCAGCACCGGAATCTCGTTAGGCTTCTCGGTTTTGCTCTGCAAGGAGAAGAAAAGATACTCGTCTTTGAGTTTGTTCCCAACAAGAGCCTCGATTATTTCCTCTTCGGTAGTACTAGTAGTCTAATTTTCCTCTTTATCCAATTTTCTTGAAATCTTAATCTTGGATTTGCAAATGGATGTGCAGACCCAACAAAGAAGGGTCAGCTGGACTGGACAAGACGGTACAACATCATCGGAGGGATTACACGAGGGATTCTCTATCTTCATCAAGACTCGAGGCTCACCATCATACACCGTGACATCAAAGCGAGTAACATTCTTTTAGATGCCAATATGAACCCAAAAATAGCAGATTTCGGAATGGCAAGGAATTTCAGAGATCATCAAACTGAAGACAGTACAGGAAGAGTTGTTGGAACCTTGTTAGTAGTCTCCTTCTTATTTACTTAAAATGGAGACAATTCTCTGAGGAACGGTTTTTGTTACTGATTAACGTAAACATTTTCATGTGTATATTTGCAGCGGTTACATGCCTCCAGAATATGTGACACATGGCCAATTCTCTACCAAATTCGATGTCTATAGCTTCGGAGTATTGATTCTGGAGATTGTTAGTGGCAGGAAGAATAGCAGCTTCTATCAGATGGATGGTTCTGTTTGCAACTTAGTCACATATGTGAGCTAGAATCAACTCAATAACTATACTTATTTTTTTATTTTCTTAACTTGTGATCATGATTCTGAATATGAGTTTGTTTGCAGGTTTGGAGACTTTGGAACACTGATACATCCTTGGAGCTCATAGATCCGGCGATTAGGGAAAGTTATGAGAAAGATGAAGTTACTAGATGCATCCATATCGGACTTTTATGCGTTCAAGAAAATCCTGCAAATCGCCCAGCTATGTCTACAGTATTCCAGATGCTCACCAATAGCTCCATTACTCTAAATGTCCCTCAACCACCTGGATTTTTCTTCAGGAACAGACCCGAATCGGACACATTAAGCCTCAGAGTGGAGCAGGACCAATATAACACCAAATCTGTTACTTGTTCTATCGACGATGCAACGATCACTACACTCACTCCTCGGTAAAATTCTCTTGCTTCTGCACTCTGTTGTATATTACCTCAACTCTATTTTCAAAAGTCAATGTTATAAAAATATTGAGGATTGAATTATTTTTGAATGTGATTATGTGTAATAATAACTTTTTATCATTTTGATTCTGATATATGTATTCACTTTCATTTTTTGCTAAGAACATCTATTTTTGACCAAATCAAGGTTCTCAAAATATTACAGTGAATGAAATCAAACTAGGCTATCCTCTGTTTTAGACCCAACGGTACTTATATCAGGCATCTTCACAAAGATGCAGGCACTCAGTATTTTAGACCCAACGGTACTTATAACACTAAAACCGATATCTTGCTTCCAACGCCAGTTCTCGAGACGGATTCTACAACGTTTCGCTTACTCCTTCACTTCCATGAGGAATTTTGCGGCCTATGTAACTTCCTCGAGCATATACGTGCTGATGCAGTGTCTTCTGTCAGGGTTTTCTGAAGAAGATGTTCCAATGATAGTCTATACTTATTCCCTGATGAATAACTGGATTAGGTTCAAGATGAATATCCGATTGGCTATAGGAGAATAAACAGCCTGAGTCCCATTGTTTCTTGAGCTCCAAGAAAATTCAAATTGTCACGTAGCCATGGAGTGTCATAGATTCTTCTGTTTCTTTATCTTCAAAGAGATACATTCCAGCTTAGTTCGCAGGTGAGATGTCACAAGTTAATAGCAGAACAAGGAAACCAAGACGGTTCTGTACCGGAAAAACGGAGATTTGGGACAAGAGATATCAAAGAATAAGAAGCGACAGCTTAAATACTCGTAAAGTATATGCTTGTGGGCATTAGTTGGTCCATGTTCAACTAATCATTTACCTAACCCCGTTTATAAAATACTCCATTAAACTATCCAAACATTTACGGAGTTGACTAAGTCAATTTCTAATGGGGTTAATATATGATACAAAGAAAAGATGAGGGATTTAAACATATTTTAATGGGGTCAATATAAAGAATTTAAGAATATTTTCTAATTTACTCTTAATTTTTAATAGCAAATATGTTAAAATTCAAAAGTTGTTGGGGTCAAATGACACCACTACCACCAACGTACGTCCGCCACTGGTTGACTTGTGTATGAATGCTTGTAATTCGTATCAATGAAAATTCTAAACACGCAAGTTTTGACGAAATCAACGCTCCTAAATAAAGTTTTCGTATTTACATTCAGGTTCAAAGATTTGTAACAAGTATTAAGAAAAGTAAAATCTAAGGGAAAAAAATGTTTCTGAACAAACTTTTTTCAATGCTCTGTTTTATCTTCATCCTTAGTTTCGGTTTTGTCTCTGCACAAAAATGTGGAGAGTCAATGTTTTTCAGACCAAATGGTACTTATGACACTAACCGTCGTCTCGTTCTCTCAACTCTAGCTTCCAACGTCAGTTCTCAAAACAACCGCTTCTACAACGTCTCAGTCGGTGAAGGAGCTTGGAGGATCTATGCTTTAGGCCTCTGTATCCCAGGGACTGATCCAAAGGTCTGTGCCGACTGTATCCAACTCGCATCAGAAGGTTTATTACAAAACTGTCCGAACCAGACCGACTCATTCGACTGGAGAGGCAACAAGACGCTCTGTTTCGTTCGTTACTCCAACAGCTCGTTTTTCAACAAGATGGATCTAGAGCCGACAGTAACAGTTTTCAGTACTAAAAAGTTTCAAGGTAACTTTAAAACTTACAACAGAACATGGGACGCGCTCATGAACTTTATGATCACCCGAGTCGGTCAATCTCAATACCTTGCCGAAATATCCCCTCGAATAGGTTTTGATCGTATATACACTCTGATGCAGTGTATTCCGGGGCTATCCTCTAACGACTGTGAAACCTGTATTACAGTAAGTGTCCGTAATTACCAGAGATGCTGCAATGGCTTCGTAGGTGGAGTCGTTCGCAAGCCTGTCTGCTTTTTCCGGTGGGATGGTTATGAATATCTTGGTGCCTTTGGTAACACGCAATCATTACCTCCTCAAGAATCTCAACCCCCGCCGCTTCCTCCTCCTGGAGATGGCAAAAAAAATTCTACAGGAGTTATTGTGGCTATCGTTGTTTCCGCTGTTATCTTCGCGGTGCTGCTCGCTTTAGGATTAGTTATTTGGAAGAGAAGAAAATCATACCAAACACTGAAACCTCAAAGTGAGTTACTTTTTTTTAGGGTTTTACTATTCACACATTTTGGAATGCATAATTGTAAGTTAGCAACCATTGACGATATGTTATTGCAGCTGATGATGACATGATAAGTCCACAGTCTCTGCAATTTGATTTTGCAACAATTGAAGCGGCAACCGACAATTTTTCGAGGAACAACAAGCTAGGTCAAGGCGGATTCGGTGAAGTTTACAAGGTATATTTGAGCTGAGCTTTGTATACATATCTATGATTGCTTGATCTTTTATGAAAACAAAGAACTGAGAAGCTTTTCATATGTATATTTGTAGGGAATGTTACCAAATGAAACAGAAATTGCGGTAAAGCGGCTATCAAGAAATTCAGGACAAGGCACACAAGAGTTCAAGAACGAGGTTGTGATTGTTGCTAAACTTCAACACAAGAATCTTGTTAGGCTTCTTGGGTTTTGCTTAGAAAGAGATGAACAGATACTTGTCTACGAGTTTGTTCCCAACAAGAGCCTTGATTATTTCCTCTTTGGTAATAAACAATAACACTTGGTTTAATTTATGTTCCTTTTAGAAATTTTATCTTAAATGCTTATTTCTCTAATGCAGATCCAACAAAGAAGACTCAGCTAAATTGGAAAAGACGGTACAACATCATAGGAGGGATTACGCGAGGGCTTCTATATCTTCATCAAGACTCAAGACTCACCATCATACACCGTGACATCAAAGCAAGTAACATTCTTTTAGATGCCGATATGAACCCTAAAATAGCGGATTTCGGAATGGCAAGGAATTTTAGAGTGGACCAAACTGAAGACAATACAGGAAGAGTTGTTGGAACATTGTTAGTATTCTAATATTCTTCTTTAAATTTGATAAACCTCTTTTTGTTTCTTTTTGTTTCTGATAACATAAAAACTTTCATGTTTATATTTGCAGCGGTTACATGCCTCCAGAGTATGTGACACATGGCCAATTCTCTACCAAATCTGATGTTTATAGCTTTGGAGTATTGATTCTTGAGATTATTTGTGGCAAGAAGAACAGCAGCTTCTACCAATTGGATGAATCTGGTGGCAATTTGGTGACACATGTGAGCAAAAACCAAACCAAAATATTACTCTGTTTTGTTTGTGACCACGAAGGATTTTGATTCTGAATATGAGTTTCTTGGCAGGTTTGGAGGCTTTGGAACAATGATTCACCCTTGGATCTCATCGATCCTGCGATTAAGGAAAGCTACGATAATGTTGAAGTCATTAGATGTATCCATATCGGAATTTTATGTGTTCAAGAAACTCCGGCAGATCGTCCAGCCATGTCTACAATCTTTCAAATGCTTACCAATAACTCCATTACTCTACCTGTGCCTCGACCGCCTGGATTTTTCTTCAGAAACAGATCCAATTTAGACCCTTTAACCTATGGATCCGAGTCGGGACAATCCAGCAGCCAATCTGTTCCTTTTTCTATAGATAGTGCGTCAATCACGCGAGACACTCCTCGGTAAAATGATTGCTTTTGCAATAGTCCTTAGCATTTTCCTTGTAACGCAAGCAACTCCAATTTTCAAATTCTATGTGTAAAGAAGTTAATAGACACATGATCCTATTTATTTTGTATGTAATGTGGGTACATATAAAACCAAATTAAACTTATGTGTAGGTAGAGTATTCCTTTCTTCTTTTTATTCCATGGCAAGACGAGAATTTGTGAAACCACAAAACTGATACATTAACCTCTAAAAACAACCACTTATGAGCCCAATTTAGACTTCTTCAATCCTCTATGAAAATCAACAGCTTGCTTATTCCACTTGACTTGATACAAGAGCTTTTTGCGCCCCCAGATTTTCTATAAACCGGCAACAAATTTTATTACTTCCCTTGAAACATCCATGCAACTACACGTATAATGTGATGATGTTCCACTAAGTTTGATCAACAACATTTGTAGACCTCTCAGGTTTTTCTGTTTCATAATTTTTTTTTTTTTTTTTTTTTTTTTTTTTTTTTTTTTTTTAATTCATGGTAGATCCTAAGCCTATGGAGGGACCCAAACTAATCCCTAAGGGAGGTGCAGCCCATGAATAAACTCTTTCTCTGGATATTCAAATGGACTGTAAGCAAAAGTCTATATCCATGTGGATGTCCAAAAACAATGTGTTGGAGTTTCACACAGCAGGTGGATCAAACTTGAGATGTGTTGGCACCTCAAGCCCATCCCTTTACTGTTAGACCACAAGGTCTTGGACTTTTCATCAAACTTTATCTAGCAGCTTCACATGTTCTAGTATATCATCTTGATAAAGATTACCAACAACCTTTAATCCATTCTGTTGCTTGAACACTCATGAATTAACTCACAATCGCTAACGAATTTTAACATACTTCTTGAAAATAAGACTGAGATCAAGCCACTGTCTATACCATATGGAGAGCAAGAAATGGGCGTAGGCATGGTGAAGAACCGAATCCAGTGAACCAATTAGTTCGGTAAATAGATAAGCAAGTACGAAATCAAATTTTTGCAATCCGAAGAATGGGAGACAAGCGTTATGAAGAGGGCTTTCAGCTATATATGGCTCCAATATCGTGGCCAAATGTATAAACGTTTAAACATTATAAATACTTAAAATTTTATAAACGTTTAGAGTAAATATAATATTTAAATTTTGTAAAAGTTTATAATATTAATAATCTTTGAACTCTAAAAAATTAAAATCTCTCTCTCTCTCTCTCTCTCTATATATATATATATATATAACCATTTATAAATAAACTTTTAAATTGACTCGAATTATATATCTTTTAAATAAAAGTATTCTTAAAAAATAACAAAATGATGTTTAGTTTCACGGGGCGGAGTTATATGGTGGGACGGGTTTGGATTGATATTAATACGGGATGTTGTACCACGGGTGAAAATATAAAATTAACAATCAAAATATAATTATGAAATCTTAATTAAATACTAAACATAATAAACAATATTAACAAAACGACTACAACTGCAAATTTAAAATTTTTAGTCACAGAAAATCGACCTGCTTTAAGATCTGTGACGATTATTACATAAATATTTCACATAATAACAATGAAATATGAAAAACAAACCGTAACTATATATAATACATAAAACAAACAAAAATATTCTGACCTTTTCAATTTCACATAATAACGTCTAATTGATAAAATTCCAAACAAAAACAATTAAATTGTATATACATCAAACAAACTAAATATCTATATACTCCCTCCGTTTCATTTTACTTGTCGTTTTAGAGTTAAAATTTTGTTTCATAATAGTTGTCGTTTTAGGTTTTTGATGCAAATGTTTGGTGAAAATTCTAGTTTTATCCCTACTGTTTTAATGTTTCGGCGAATGAATTTTTCCCTACTGTTTTAATGTTTCGGCGAATGAATGAATTTTTCTCACACAAATATATTAATTTGTGTGAGAAAACCTTAAACGACAACTAAAACGAAACGGTGGGAGTATTATTTTTCAAATCGAAGCAAATTAAAAATTCTTTATGCAAAATATAAATCAAATATAAATAATACAAGTTTTAAGTTTTAAATTATTTTTTATATAAAAAATTATCATGCGGTGTACCGCGGGTCATATCCTAGTTGTTTACATTATGTTAATGTTACATTATGCTCGGCAACGGAAATCTTTTTTTGTTTGAAATCAGTAACTTTCTGTTTCAATATCGTATAAATTCATAATTTAATAAAAGATCCGTTGTAGCACAATAGTTAAACTATCGTGGTAGATGGCTTTCTGGGTTAGAAGCCCGGCAGCGGAAATCAGTTTTTGTTTGAAATCTGCAATTATCTGTTTCAATATAGTATGTTATAGCACAATGGTTAAACTATCTTGTAGATGACTTTCCGGGTTCGAAGCCTAGAATCATAAATGTTATCGATGATATTTGAATTCGAAATAGTAATCCCCACATATTCCCTAATATTTAGAAGTTTTTGTTTTAAACGAAATTTCAATTTGAACACATTCCATTTTGCTATACACTTTCACTAACTATGTCATCATAATAGACTGTATTTTAGTTCTATACACTCTATCTTATTGATGATATTTGAATGATAAATAGTAACTCACACTTTTTTCTATTAGTATATGTGTTTTTAAATCTAATCTCAATCTTAAACATTCTATTTTGCAATACAATTTAACTATATATTTCATCATAATATACAGCTGGATTTTAATTCTACACATTTCATCTTAATAGATAAAAGCTTAAATTTTCATATCAAAATAATATGTATATCATATCAAATCATATCTTAATTGATATTAAAATTAATTGACCGATAATACATGTAAAAAGAGTGTGAGTTTTTTTGATTAAAAAATAAAAGTTAAATTTTTAGATATAGACATAAAAATTAGTATATGTAACTATGTTTATTTTTTCAGTTTTCTTGTTTTCTTAAAGAAAAAAAAATAAATCTTTTTCAATACATGTCAATATCTAATCTATAGATATAACATATAACATAATCTGACGAATTATTTTGAAAACCAAGGTTTATATAATCAGATATCAAACACAAATCAATAAATTTTAGTTGAGTCATTGGTCCATGGTCATTTTTCATCATTTACCTAACGTGTTTATAAAGTACTAATAAATTATCCAAAACGTTTACCGAGTTGACTTGTAATAACGAAAATTCTACAAACGCAACCTGTTTTGACGATATATCAACCCTCCAAAATATACTTTTCTTTTATAGATTCAAGTTCCAAAATGTGCATCGAGTTTCTGAGCAAAGTAAAATCTCAAAAGAAAATGTGTCTAAGCAATCTGTTATCAATCCTCTGTTTTGTCCTACCCGTTATATTTGGTTACGTGTCTGCATCAGAAAAATGCGGGGACTCAATGTTTTTCACTCCCAACAGTGCTTACGATACAAACCGTCGTCTCGTTCTCTCAACTCTTGCTTCCAACGTCAGTTCTCGAAACAACCGCTCCTACAATGTCTCGGTCGGTGAAGGAGCTGGAAGGATATATGCCTTAGGTCTCTGTATCCCAGGGACTGATCCATGTTAGATAATTGAGTTTTGTGTTTACGATAGTGAAAGAGAAAAAAACAGAGTATGAATGTAATTGACTTTATTGATCTGAAAACTTGATTGTATTACACTCTGTTGTGTTTTAAAAGACAAAGACTCGATCTATACTTATATGAAACGAAACGTTGTGTTTGTGTAATAATAAAAAGACATGACTCTTTGATCTAAAGACACAACTGTAAAACAAAACAACTTGTGTCTCTTGAACAAATAACTAACTTATGTAAATGTGATATGATACGAGATTTGATTATCCTTCAACACTCCCCCTTAATCATATCTCGGCTTCACTCCAAGCTTCCTTCTAAGATCTTCAAACCTTGTAACACTTAAAGCCTTGGTAAGTATATCCGCGAGTTGATCTTCTCCTTTGCAATATTCAAGTTGAATGAGTCCTTTGTGCTCGGCTTCTCTCACGAAATGATACTTGATCTCGATGTGCTTCGTTCTTCTATGTTGTACCGGATTCCTTCCAATTGCTATTGCTGACTTGTTGTCACATAATATGGGAATACCTTCTTCAAACTTTAAACCGAAGTCTTCAAAGAGTCTTTGTAACCATATGGCTTGGTTTGTCGCTGCACATACGGCCACATACTCTGCTTCAGCCGTTGATTGAGCAACGGTTTGTTGCTTGCTTGATTGCCAACAGAACACGGCTGATCCAAGGGTAAAAACATATCCTGATGTGCTTTTCTTGTCTTCAACGGAACCACCCCAATCGCTGTCTGAGTAGCCGATTAACCTTGGCTTTTCCACACTTGTGAACTGAACCCCAAGACTTGATGTACCTTTGACATAACGTAACACTCGCTTTGCTCCCTGGTAGTGCTTCATCTTTGGCGCTGACATGTATCTTGCGAGGTAAGAGCTTGCATACATTACATCAGGTCGTGATGCACATAGGTATAGAAGGCCTCCGACAATGCTTCTATACTTTGTTTGATCGCCATATTCTCTGTCATCTCCTTCCTTCTTACCTTGTGGTGTAAGTGGAGTGCTTACCATCTTGCTTGATCTCATCCCAAACTTGTCTACAAGTTTGTTAGCATACTTTTCTTGAGAAAGAAATATGCCGTGATCATCTTGGATTACTTCAAAACCGAGAAAGTAACTTAGCAATCCAAGATCCGTCATCTCGAATTCTCTCTTCATGTTTTCCTTGAATGTATTAATGTGATGAATGTTGCTTCCTATAATGATGATGTCGTCCACGTAAAGGCTTACGATCAACACACCTCTTCCTTGCTTCATAGTATACAGCGCTGCATCGTTCATACTTCTCTCAAAACCGTTTTGAATAAAGTATGAATCGATTCTTCCATACCAAGCCCGAGGGGCTTGCTTGAGACCGTATAAGGCTTTGTGAAGCCTTAACACCTTCTCTTCCTTTCCTTCAATCACGAACCCAGGTGGTTGTGTAACATAAACCTCTTCTTGTAATTCTCCATTTAGAAAGGCTGACTTGACATCCATTTGGTATAGCTTCCACTTCCTTTGAGCCGCGTATGCAAGTATAGCTCTTATGGTGTCGTGCCTTGAGACTGGAGCAAAAGTCTCTTGGTAGTCAACTCCATGTTCTTGAGAGAAACCACGAGCAACCGATCTTGCTTTGTATTTGATTGGCTCTCCATTTGCACCCGTCTTTATCTTGTAGATCCATTTCACACTGATTACGTTCTTCTTCTCTGGTTTATCTACAAGTTTCCAAGTGTTGTTTCTCTCGATCATCGATATCTCTTCGATCATGGCTCTTCTCCATTCCTCGATCTCAACTGCTTGATCATAGTTTTGCGGTTCTTCTTGTGCAAGAAGACATGCTTCTATGACTTGAGCCGCTTCCTCTAAATTCACCCTCGGTGCGTTTTCCAAGATTTCAGTCATCGATCTGAATTTCTTTGGGGTGTTGGAGTCTCCTCCATCTTCTTCTCTGGTATTTTGAGACCTTCCGGGTGAGATTTGCAGATTTTTGAAAGCATTACTCACTTGATCTATTTGATTACTTAGATCGTTGCTTACTCCTTCTTCATTGCTTTCCGCTTGATCTCTTGGTGCATTGTCGTTGGTTATGGGCAAGACAAAGGTTTTGTCGACTTCTTTTTGTTCTTCCCAACTCCATTTCTTCTCTTCTTTGAATTCAACATCTCTTGAGACTTCGATCTTCTCGTTTTCAAGGTTGAAAACTCTATAGCCCTTCGTTTGATCGCTATAGCCGATGAAGATGCACCGCTTAGCTTTTGCTTCAAGTTTCTTCCTTCTTTGATCTGGTATATGAACGAAACATACGCTTCCAAAGACTTTTAAGTGTGACACATTAGGTTTGTGTCCACACCACTTCTCCATAGGAGTTAGATCACCCTCTATTGCTCTTGTTGGTAGACGGTTTTGCAAGTAAGCCGACGTGTAGACGGCTTCGGCCCAAAACTTGAATGGCAAGTCTTGTTCTGCAAGCATCGTTCTTGCCATTTCCACCAATGATCTGTTCTTCCTCTCGGCTGATCCGTTCTGTTGTGGAGAGTAAGGCAAAGTGACTTGCCTTTCAATGCCTTCTTCTTCACAAAACTTGGTGAATTCTTTTGATGTGAATTCACCACCACCATCGGACCTTAATATCTTGATGAAACACCCTGATTGCTTCTCGATCATCGCTTTGGCCTTCTTGAAAGTGGAGAGAGTCTCTGATTTTTGTTTAAGGAAGTATACCCAACACATATGGGTATAGTCATCCAAAAACAATAGGAAATATCGACTTCCATTAAGTGATTCATGTTGCATTGGTCCGCATACGTCCGTGTGTACGATCTCCAATCTCTCATTTGTCTTGGATTGAGACTTCTTTGGAAAGCTTTTACGAGACTGCTTTCCAATGTTGCACGCTCCACATGATTCCTTGTGAATCATGAACTTTGGTAATCCCTTTACCAAATCCTTCTGTTGCATTTGATGGAGCCGAGTGTTTCCCACATGGCCAAGTCTTTTGTGCCATATCTTCATCTCTCCCGGTTCATTAACTAGCATTGCTTCTTCTTGAACCGTGCTTAGCTTTATCCTAAAGCTTTTATTCATCATTGGAATCTCCAAGATCTTCTTCTCTCTTGCATCCAGAATGATGCATTTCTTCTCTTGGAAGCATACTTGATAGCCACTAGAGATTATTTGTGACACACTCAACAGGTTCTTCTCCAAACCAGGAACCAAATAGACGTTTCTGATGATTCTCTTCCCATACTTTGTCATGATCGTGACGTCTCCCTTTCCAGCTGTCATGACTATCTCTCCATTTCCGACTTTGATCGGAACCTTGATGCTCTTGTTGATATTTGAGAAATATCTCTCCTCCTTTGTCATATGGTTGGTACAACCGCTATCTATCAACCATGTGTCTTCTCTTGGTATTGTTGTTACTTCCTCACTCGCGGTGAACAACATGTGATCTTCTTCCGATTCACTTTCCTCTTGACTCACGTGTGCTTTCTCCTTCTTCTTTGATCGACACACGTTTGCGAAGTGGCCAATCTTGCCACAATTGTAACATTCTTTGTTACTCTTCTGATCTTTCCATTGATCATTCTCCTTCGGTTTCTTCCTGCATTCACGGTTAGTGTGATTGCTTTTCTTGCAGAACTCACACCATTTCTTGCCTTGTGTGCCACGGCGTTTGGTGTGATCGCGTTTGAAACCGGCTTCCTTGTCTTTTGAGCGCGTGTAGAATGCTCCTTCATTGTTGTTATCATCTCTTACAGCCAATCTTGCTTCATGTGCCTTGAGGATTCCGATAAGCTCTGTCATTGTAAGTTGAGACAAGTCGCGAGTTTGCTCCACAACACTAACGATGCTATCGAATTTTGCAGGCATAGAGATGAGTATCTTCTGAATGAGTTGTGCGCTTGTTTTCCTCTCTCCATGATATGTTAATTGACTCTCCAAATCAACTAATTTATCGGTGAATGATTTGACATTCTCTCCGTCATTCATCTTAAGGTTTTCGTATTCTCGACGCAACGTTTGAAGTTTCACCAATCGAACTTGGGGAGATCCTTCATATTCGTCTTTCAACGCTTCCCAAGCCTCCTTTGATGATGTTGCTCCGGATATGCGTGAGAATATCTGATCAGTGACGGCGGTTTGCAAAATTTGCAAAGCCATCGTGTCGTTTGTAACTGCTTCTTCTCTAACGGCTACTGCTCTTAATGATGCAGGGGTTTCTTCTCCTTGTACCGGTTCAGGCGGTACGCCTCCCTCGACCACTGACCAAAGTTTCCTTGTCCTAAGGATGGTCGACATCTTGATGCTCCAGAAGTCATACTTCTCTCCGTTAAAGATCGGGATCACTTGGTGTGAAGAGCCTTGCATTGTCTCGGCTTATTGCCTTTGACAGATGCGATCTGTTGCGGTTATTCTTCGCCTTTCTTCTCCTTTTTTTTGTGTTTTACTCTTGTCCTCTCTCAATCGAATAGCTCTGATACCATGTTAGATAATTGAGTTTTGTGTTTACGATAGTGAAAGAGAAAAAAACAGAGTATGAATGTAATTGACTTTATTGATCTGAAAACTTGATTGTATTACACTCTGTTGTGTTTTAAAAGACAAAGACTCGATCTATACTTATATGAAACGAAACGTTGTGTTTGTGTAATAATAAAAAGACATGACTCTTTGATCTAAAGACACAACTGTAAAACAAAACAACTTGTGTCTCTTGAACAAATAACTAACTTATGTAAATGTGATATGATACGAGATTTGATTATCCTTCAACAATCCAAAGGTGTGTTCCGATTGTATCCAACTTGCGTCTCAAGGTTTACTACAAAACTGTCCGAATCAGACCGACTCATTCGACTGGAGAGGCGACAAGACGCTCTGTTTCGTTCGTTACTCCAACAGCTCGTTTTTCAGCAAGATGGCTCTAGAGCCGACAGTAACAATTTTCAGTACTATAAAGTTTCAGGGAAATCTTCAAACTTATAACAGAACATGGGACGCGCTCATGAACTTTATGATCACCCGAGTCGGTCAATCTCAATACCTTGCCGACATATCCCCTCGAATAGGTTTTGATCGTATATACACTCTGATGCAGTGTATTCCGGGGATATCCTCTAACGACTGTGAAACCTGTATTCTAGTAAGTGTCCGTAATTACCAGAGATGTTGCAATGGCTTCGTAGGTGGAGTCGTTCGCAAGCCTGTCTGCTTTTTCCGGTGGGATGGTTATGAATATCTTGGTGCCTTTGGTAACACGCAATCATTACCTCCTCAAGAATCTCAACCCACGCCGCTTCCGCTTCCTCCTCCTCCAGATAGTAGAAAAAATTCTACAGGAGTTATTGTGGCGATTGGTGTTCCTGCGGTTATAATCATCGTGCTGCTCGCTGTAGGATTAGTTATTTGGAAGAGAAGACGATCGTACAAAACATTGAAACCTCAAAGTGAGTTACCTTTTTAGGGTTTTACCATTCTCACTATTTGGAATACATAATAGTAAGCATTGACGATATGTTATTGCAGCTGATGATGACATGATAAGTCCACAGTCTCTGCAATTTGATTTTGCAACAATTGAAGCGGCAACCGACAAATTTTCGAGGGACAACAAGCTAGGTCAAGGCGGATTCGGTGAAGTTTACAAGGTATACTTGAGCTGAGCTCTGTATACATATCTATGATTGCTTGATCTTCTATGAAAACAAAGAACTGAGAAGCTTTTCATATGTATATTTGTAGGGAATGTTATCAAATGAAACAGAAATTGCGGTAAAGCGGCTATCGAGAAATTCAGGACAAGGCACACAAGAGTTCAAGAACGAGGTTGTGATTGTGGCTAAACTTCAACACAAGAATCTTGTTAGGCTTCTTGGGTTTTGCTTAGAAAGAGATGAACAGATACTTGTCTACGAGTTTGTTTCCAACAAAAGCCTTGATTATTTCCTCTTTGGTAATAAACAATAGCACTAAATTTAATTTATGTTACTTTTAGAAAATTTTCTCAAATGCTTATTCTCTAATGCAGATCCAACAAAGAAGAGTCAGCTAGATTGGAAAAGACGGTACAACATCATAGGAGGAATTACGCGAGGGCTTCTCTATCTTCATCAAGACTCAAGACTCACCGTCATACACCGTGACATCAAAGCAAGTAACATTCTTTTAGATGCCGATATGAACCCTAAAATAGCAGATTTCGGAATGGCAAGGAATTTCAGAGTGGACCAAACTGAAGAAAATACAGGAAGAGTTGTTGGAACATTGTTAGTATTTTAAAATAAGCTCAATTCTCTTGTGAACCCTTTTGTTTCTGATTAACAACATAAACATTGTCATGTGCATATTTACAGCGGTTACATGCCTCCAGAATATGTGACGCATGGCCAATTCTCTACCAAGTCTGATGTTTATAGCTTTGGAGTATTGATTCTGGAGATTATTTGTGGCAAGAAGAATAGCAGCTTCTATCAGATGGATGATTCTGGGGGAAATTTGGTGACACATGTAAGCAAAAACCAAACCAAAATCTTACATTGTTATGATTGTGACCATCAAGGATTTGGATTCTGAATATGAGTTTCTTGGCAGGTTTGGAGGCTTTGGAACAATGATTCACCTTTAGATCTCATCGACCCTGCGATTAAGGAAAGCTACGATAATGTTGAAGTCATTAGATGTATCCATATCGGAATTTTATGTGTTCAAGAAACTCCCGCTGATCGTCCGGAGATGTCTACAACCTTTCAAATGCTTACGAATAGCTCCATTACTCTACCTGTGCCTCGCCCACCTGGATTTTTCTTCAGGAACAGGCCCAATTTAGACCCTTTAACTTATGGATCCGAGCCAGGGCAATCCAGCAACATGTCTGTTCCTTATTCTATAGATAGTGCGTCAATCACTAGAGTCACTCCTCGGTGAAATGATCGCTTACCAAGTGTCGTTAGCTCAACTGGTAAACACCTTAGCGGTCGCCGGTTCGAGTGAAGTTTGGGACGAAACTAATATTACATGTTGTGGTTTCGGGTCTGGGGAGATTAAGGAGTTTGGCCCAGAACCTCCTGGTATTCAAAAAAAAAAAAAAATGATCGCTTTTTCACTTGTCCGTAGCATTTTCTTTGTAACGCAAGCAACTCCAGTTTTCAAATTCTGTGTAAAAGAAGTTAAAAATTATTTTGTATGTAATGGGTACATATAAAACCAAACTTATGTGTAGGTAGAGTATTCCTTTCTTCTTTGTTTTCCATGGCAAGACGAGAATTTGTCAAACCACAAATCTGATACATTAACCTCTAAACAACCACTTATGAACCCATTTTAGACTTCTGCAATCCTCTATGAAAGTCACCAGCTTGCTTATTCCACTTGAGACAAGAGCTTTTTGCTCCCCCAGATTTTCAATAAACGGGCAACTAATTTTATTATTTCCCTTGAAACATCCATGCAACTACACGTATACTGTGATGATGTTCTAATGATTTTGATGACAACATTTGTAGACGTCTCAGGTTTATATCTAGCAGCTTCACATGTTCTAGTATATCATCTTGATAAAGATTACCAACAACCTTTAATCCATTCTATTGCTTGAACATTCACAAATCAACTCATAAACGCTAACGAATTTGAACATACTTCTTGAAAATAAGAAGCGACACAAGTTATATATAACGAGTTCTCCTATATCGCGCGCGGTATGATATTTAGCGTACATATCAACGGAATCAAACACACTAGCCTGAATTCACTGTCTCCAATAAACCACCAAAACAGATTTTTAATCTGGTGTATAGTCCAAGTAACAAACCCTTTAGTGTTTGTATTATGGTTTTAAAAATCCACCAACACTTTTAAGTTTTAACATCGAATCAAGTATCAACGCGCTCTTTAACAAAAAACAAACATCTATCGCATTGACTTGAATATGTTTGAGTCTAGAACTAACTACTTTACGAAAATTCTAACCACACCCATACTTTTTGACGAAATCAACGTCCTAAAATGTTACAGTAAAAAACCATTATAGAGTTGACTTGAATATGCTTTACTCAATTACTTACAAAAATTCTAACCAACTATGCTTTTTGACGAAATCAACGACCCTAAGTACTACAGTAAAATAAAAAACTGTACATTATTTACAATCAATTTCAATAATCTGCAACACATATCTGACCAAAGTAAAACATCCAAAATAAAAATGTCTCTGCACAATCTCTTGTCAATCCTCTGTTTTGTCCTCGCCATTAGCTTCGGCTACGTGTCTGCACAAAAATGTGTGGACTCAATGTTTTTCAGACCCAACGGTACTTATGACACAAACCGTCGTCTCATTCTCTCAACTCTTGCTTCCAACGTGAGTACACGAGATGGCTACTACAACGGTTCGGTCGGTGAAGGCCCTGAAAAAATCTATGCCTTAGGTCTCTGTATCCCAAGGACTGATCCAAAGGTCTGTTCTGATTGTATCCAAATCGCATCTACGGGTTTATTACAAAACTGCCCGAACCAGACCGACTCTTACGACTGGAGATCCCAGAAAACACTCTGTTTCGTTCGTTACTCCAACAGCTCGTTTTCCAACAAAATGGATCTAGAGCCGACAATGATAATAGGAGATCTAAATAGTGGACTATTCCAAGGGAACCTAACAGCTTATTCAAGAACATGGGAGGTGTTCATGAAATCTATGATCACCCGAGTCGGTCGAACTCGTTACCTGGCCGATATTTCCCCTCGGATAGGCTCTGCTCGTATATACGCGCTGATGCAATGTATTCCGGGGATATCCTCTTTGGAATGTGGAAATTGTATTCGGGAAAATGTGCGGATGTACCAGAATTGCTGCAATGGGTTCATAGGAGGAACTATTCGCAAGCCGGTCTGCTTTTTACGGTGGGATGGTTCTGAATATCTTGGTGCCTTTGGTGACACGCCATCGCTACCTCCACCTTCTCCAGATGGGAAAACAATATCTACGGGAGCTATTGTTGCGGTTGTTGTTGTTTCCGCGGTTATATTTGTGGCGCTGCTAGCTTTAGTATTGGTCATTCGGAAGAGAAGACAATCATACAAAACACTAAAACCTCAAAGTGAGTTTTTTTTTTTCTTCATAATTCTTACATTGCGTTTTGGAACCAATAACAGAAACCATACATATGATAGATATTTCAGCTGATAATGACATGACAAGTCCACAGTCTCTGCAATTTGATTTTATGACCCTCGAAGCGGCAACTGATAAATTTTCGAGGAATAACAAGCTAGGTCAAGGTGGATTTGGTGAAATTTTTAAGGTATTTTTCAGCTATGCTCTACATATATCTATGATAGCTTGATTTGTCAAAAATACTAATAACTTAATTAAGAAGCTTTGATAGCCGCTTTACCGCAAAGTCGGTTACATTTGTCAAAAAATACTAATATTGTGGCTCAACTTACCAAAATTGTATATTTGTAGGGAATATTACCAAATCAAACAGAAGTTGCGGTGAAGCGGCTATCGATAAATTCAGGACAAGGCACACAAGAGTTCAAGAACGAGGTTGTAATTGTGGCTAAGCTTCAACACAGGAATCTTGTTAGGCTTCTTGGGTTTTGCTTAGAAAGATATGAACAGATACTTGTCTACGAGTTTGTTTCCAACAAGAGCCTTAACTATTTCCTCTTTGGTAATAAACAATAACACTTAATTTAGTCTATGTTCATTTTATCAAATTTTCTTGAATAATAGTCTAATGCAGATCCAACAAAGAAGAGTCAGCTAGATTGGAAAATACGATACAGCATCATTGGAGGGATTACGCGAGGGCTTCTCTATCTTCATCAAGACTCGCGGCTCACCATTATACACCGTGACATCAAAGCAAGTAACATTCTTTTAGATGCCGATATGAACCCTAAAATAGCGGATTTCGGAATCGCAAGAAATTTTAGCGTGGACCAAACTGAAGACAATACAGGAAGAGTTGTTGGAACCTTGTTAGTATTATAATATTCTCCTTTGAGTTTGATAAACCTTTTTTTTGTTTCTGATTAACATTAACATTGTCATGTGCATATTTGCAGCGGTTACATGCCTCCAGAGTATGTGACGCACGGCCAATTCTCTACCAAATCTGATGTTTATAGCTTTGGAGTATTGATTCTGGAGATTATTTGTGGCAAGAAGAATAGCAGCTTCTACCAGATGGCTGATTCTGGTGGCAATTTGGTGACACATGTGAGCAAAAACCAAACTAAAATCTTACTTTTTTTTTACTGTGACCACTGACCACGCATCAAGGATTTTGATTCTGAATATGAGTTTCTTGGCAGGTTTGGAGGCTTTGGAACAAGGATTCACCCTTAGATCTCATAGACCCCGCGATTAAGGAAAGCTACGATAATGATGTAGTCATTAGATGTATACATATCGGAATTTTATGTGTTCAAGAAACTCCGGCAGATCGTCCGGAGATGTCTACGATCTTTCAAATGCTTACAAATAGCTTCATTACTCTACCTGTGCCTCGACCACCTGGATTTTTCTTCAGGAACAGACACAATTTAGACCCTTTAACTTATGGATCCGAGCTGGGTCAATCGCAGCAAATCTATTCCTTATTCTATAGATAGTGCGTCAATCACTAGAGTCACTCCTCGGTGAAATGATTGCTTTTGCACTAGTCCCTAGCATTTTCCGTGTAGCACAAGCAACTCCCATGATAGTTTTGGGCCGTCCATCTCACTCTCCCTACAACTTTACTTTCTACAACTCCCATGATAGTTTTGGGTAGTCCAAATTTTTGTTCTCTTTCTCAATAAATTGTCATTATTTGCAAGGCAATCACTTTTTTTTTTTTATAAGAATAAAAATGTAATGAGCGGGTTCGAATTCAAGCTACTGCAAATCTTTTAATTGGCAATTGCCTTTATACAATGAGTGTTTTATCTTATGTCTCAACAAGTTCTTATTCCAACACAAAGTGCCGCAAAGAACTCTAAAACGCAGCTACCTTAATTTCATTTTCCCCTACAACATCCATGCAACTACAAGTACTGTGTTGATCTTCCAATGATTTTAATCACCAACATTTATAAACTCTAAGGTTTTCATGTTTCATAAGGTAATTAACTTCACATTTTTTTTTTGAATAGATGTTAAATTATATTCAAAAGAAAAAAAACCAGTTTTACAACTTAATGCATACATTTCATGAGAACAGTTTTTAGCAAAAGATTAGTCTTGGCCTTGCCTTGAGCTGAACCATAATTGTAGACCTCCCTCATACTTATTGTGCTTAATCTGTTGCAGATGTTTTTTTCGATTAACTTGACTAGCTTCCCCGTCGGTGATGGTTGTTCACTGTGCCTCCTAGCGTTTCTCTCCCTCCAAACTGAGTGAATTGTGTTTTGGAACACATACCTTAGGATGAATACTTTTGTTTTGTCCGTTTTTGTTTCACATATGTGCTTGAGAATCTCCTTCCAGTTTGCCGAGAACCGGTCTTGAAGAATTCCTCTCGCAACATCCTCCCATACAGTCCGTGAATAGGGGCAAGAGAAAAAAAAGGTGGTCCCGTGTTTCCATGGGATCCTGACATAGAACGCAGCTCGTGTTCGCTTGTAGGTTCCACAATAGCATTCTGTCTCCCGTGGCAACTCTGTTTTTTACAACTAACCAAGTGGTAAAGGCATACTTTGGGGTGGAATAAGCAAACCAGATCCCTCTATATCCCTCCATCTTCATATTTGATCTATCTGGTTCCATCTTGCTAGCTAGCTGAAGATTTCCTACTAAGACTAGCTAGTATAATAATTAATGTGTCTAATGTAGATTGTTTACAAGATAGGACTAGGAGTTACGATGAGGTCAACAATATTTAGAAACTGTTTCTCCAATATAAAGTAGTTAATAGGGCTTTTCGAGATTGATTACAATCTTAGCGTTTTCTGCGAACGGTAAAGAGTCTTCACCGGTTAATATGCCTTGGCCTTACCTTCGTGATGATTTACTGTTGAACTGGTTAGTTTTCCTTTTGAGATTGTACTACTTGTCTCTCTCTTAGTTTCCAAGATATTCTTCACTCTCTCATTGCATGCATCACTTGAGCTTTCGGAGACCTAAACACTCTTAGGTCGCTGATGCGGTCATCAACCCAAGCACCAACCATCGAGAAGATTATGGAGAAGAAACAACAACTCAGAAGCAGCCAAGTGAGACTTTTAACCAAGTTTCATCTAGAACTTTGGGCCAAAGCCAATTTAGCCTACCCGAGAAGACGTGAGCCTTGTTCAGTCCAAAGGAAGTCCAAGATCAATTCATCAAGCCCAACGACCACTTGGAATACATTCCCAGCTCAACTACCGAGTACCTTGAAGAAGTATCAGCCCAAAAGGAGTTCACACGAAGGAATTATTCAATTTATAATTCAAGTGATTCCCAGCTTACCCGATTTGGACATACACTGAGTCATGGGAGGATTCCCACCCGATCAGAAGGAGTTAAGCTACAAAGTGAATTTTCCTTTTTTACTTTGCATGTTAAGTTTCATATTTGTAATTATGAGATACAAGGTTTAAAACATTATAATAAATATTTAACATATTTCAAATAGAAAATTAATTAATAGGAAACACAGAAAATATCTATGATGATCAATAGAAAGTTATTTAATTTATATTTAAAATCATACATTATGTGAATTCAAACTTATGTGAAGACACACAGACAAAAGTAGTACAAACATGATTATGTCTTGGTCTACTAATTTTTTTTTTTTTACTTTGATAATTACTTATTTAGATTATAAATACAACTATTATGAATTTTTACGATAAAAAAAAATGTCGATGATTTGCATTCTATGAATTTAACTTGGTGATCTGATAAATCTATTTGGTGGACGGGGTTCCATCCGATCGACACCAGTATCTGCAGTTACATTCAGGTTTTCCTTTTTTGGATTGTTCCGTAGTTGCAATAGGCTTGCAAAAACCAACCCCTTGGGGAGATTTCTTTTCACATAGAGAAGTACACAATTTCGAGTCACATGTTGATGTATCCTTAGATACATGTGAAGCATTTGTTAGAACTTTAAGACATAAACGTTGTTTTCCCAGTGTTTCTTCCACCATCACCCCTAATATAGTAAATATAAAAGACATAAATGTCAGTTTCTATTTAACAATAGATTTTTTTTCGTGAAGAGTAATGTTTATATAATTTTGCATATATTAAAAAAGATATTGGACGTAGTGGAAAAAGTATAAGCTGTCGTTCAAAAATTAAATGTTTGTAAATCTAAATACAAACCTATAGCAAGGATGGTGAAGATAGTTAGAATGGTGGCCGATAGTTGACTGGGTTTCTTCATCTCATATGCTATGAACGAATTGATGATGTTTATTTGGTTAATATTTGTTTTCGAAAACGTGAACAAGATTTTAAAGTATATATAAGAAAAGTTAGATGTGTCTTATCTTTGATACATCTTAATTAGATCTTACACCTCCTGAAATTTTGGTTAAAAAAACGCGGCTCTCCATTGTTTCCTTTTTTTGTGTTAAAGGATTGATTCCATTTATTTGCTCATCTAATATGGGAGTCTTAGAACCACTCAATTATTTCAGTTCACACCATAAAATTTTAAAAATAACTTTTTGATGGGTGATTCAATTAAGAGGAGAATTTTTCTAAAAAAATACATATGGAGTAAACAGTCTGCCTTAAAATTTGTTGAAACAATGTAAAAAACAAACAAATCTATCTCGGAGACCGCATAACTCGTCATTGGATAATACTGTACTTTTTTTTCCCTTTATTGTAGTCTCTATATATATTATTTAATATTTTTTATTTAGAAATTAAACATGAAAGATTCTAAAGAATAAAATTTATTTACAGCAAATGAAAGTAACATACATACAATAGAAAAATATATTGTGGAAAAACATTAGCAGTGAGCGGTGAGCCGTGAGTTGTCAGTAGACCAAAACGACCAAAACGATTTAAAGTTTCCAAAGTTCATTACACTCTCATAATTTCTTGTTTTATGCATCCAACTCTAGGGTTTAGTAGCTTAAGTTTTCAAAGTAGAGCTGTGAGAGAAGATTCATAATATTTAAATTTGACTTTAACCAATATATGTCTAACTTCTAAGGTTTTGAAGATGATGATTTTTTTTTTGTCAACCATATATATGTTAATACAGTTGAACATTTTCATTAAGAGCTCAGATATAGGGCAACAAAATGTAAATAGATTCTGAAGAGAACGAAACATTTATTAAAGTCTCCGTAGCAAAAATTAGAAGGATGAATTGAAGTCATTAGATGCATCCATATATCGGACTATTATGTGTTCAAGAAACTCCTGCAGATCGTCCAGCGATGTATACAGCCTTTCAAATGCTTATATATAGCTCCATTACTCTACCTGTGCCTCCACCACCCGGATTTTCCTTCAAGAACAGACCCGATTTAGACCCTTTATCATATGGATCCGAGCTGGGGCAATCCAGCAGCAAGTCTATCCCTTATTTTACAAGCGACGATTCAATCACTAGAGTAAATCATCGTTGAAATTCCTTGCCTCTGTATGTAGTATTAACCTCAGCAGGTTTAGCACTAGTCCTTACCATTTGCCTTGTACCACACGTAACACCAATTTTCAAAGTCTGTGTACTTAAGAAGTTGAGGGTTCAAAATTCAATTATTCTATGTATATGATTTGTGTTGTTACAAGATTTTCAACGCTACGAGAAGGATAAACTCACTAGAACCCATATCGGACAGAGGTCATACGAACAGAAAGTCTGTTCCTTGATCTATTGATAATGATTCAATCACTAATGAATCCTCGTTGAGATTCTTGCTTCTGTAATCTGAAAAATAACCTCAACATCAGCACCAGTTAGTTACTTGTAATACACGTAACACATCAGCTTTTTAGCTTATGGATAAAAAAAGGCACAGAAGTCAATTAAATTTGTAAGCAACAATATATAGTAGAAGTTTCTGGATATGGTCCATGTTTACGTGCCTTCACTTACATCATATATTTGACGCGTTTATTAAATACTCAAAACCACTTATCGAATTGACTTGAATATTCTTGACTCAACTACTCAACGAAAATTCTAAACACGCAAGTCTTTTGACGAAATCAACGATCCTTAAAAGTTACAAATCAAAGTTTGTCTTATTTAGATTCCACTTCCAAGATCTCCAACAAGTACTATCTGAGCAAATTCAAGACTCTTAAAATGTCTCTTAGCCATCTCTTGTCAATCCTCTGTTTTATTATCTTTGTCTTTAGCTTCGGCTACGTATCTGCTCAAAAATGTGGAGATAGTCTGTTTTTCAGACCAAACGGTACTTATGACACAAACCGTCGTCTTGTTCTCTCAACTCTTGCCTCCAACGTCAGTTCTCGAGACGGCTTCTTCAATGTCTCGGTTGGTGAAGGCTCTGAAAGAATCTATGCTTTAGGCCTCTGTATCCCAGGGACTGATCCAAAGGTGTGTTCCGAGTGTATCCAACCCGCGTCTGACGGTTTGTTAAAGAATTGTCCGAATCAGACCGACTCATGGGACTGGAGAGCCACCAAGACGCTCTGTTTTGTTCGTTATTCCAATCGGTCGTTTTTCAACGAGATTGATCTAGAGCCGGTAACAGCAGAATTATTAACTTTAGATGTCACTGGTGATGTTGCAGAGTATAACAGAACATGGGAAGATTTCATGGCGCGTATGATATCCACAGCTTCCTCCTCAACTCCCGGGTCGCTTGCAGGTAGACATTACGCAGCAAATATAACTCCTTTACCCGGTTTCCGGAGAATATACGTATTGATGCAGTGTATTCCGGGGATTTCTTCTGTGGATTGTGACGCTTGTCTTCAAGCAAATGTTCGAACATACCAACGTTGTTGCGGTGGGAAGCAAGGGGGTAGCATTAGGAGACCTGTTTGCTTTTTTCGGTTTGATCCTTATCCGTATCTCGATGCTTTCGATAGCATAACATCGTCCCCTCCTCCTCAAAGCTCTAAAGATCCTCAAGAATCTCAACCCACGGCGTCGCCTCCTCCTCCAGATGGCAAAACGATTTCTACAGGAGTTATAGTGGCTATTGTCTTCTCCGTGGTCATATTCGTGGCGCTGTTTGCTCTAGGGTTGATTTTTTTGAAGAGAAGACAATCATACAAAGCATTAAAGCTTGAAAGTGAGTCACTTCTACCACTTTCCATTTCAAAACAGAGTATACTTATATATTGATTAAAATTCTTTTATCACCATACATTTATTGTTGCAGCTAATGATGATATTACAAGTCCACAGTCTCTGCAATTTGATTTCAAGACAATTGAAGCGGCGACTGATAGATTTTCGGAGAACAACAAAGTCGGTCAAGGTGGATTTGGTGAAGTTTACAAGGTATATATTTAGCTCTGTATATATCTATGACTCTGCTTGATTAAAATCATGGAAGCTAAATAGCGGTGCGTATGTATATTTGTAGGGAAGATTATCAAATGGAACTGAAGTTGCCGTGAAGCGACTATCAAAAAATTCAGGACAAGGCTCACAAGAGTTTAAGAACGAGGTTGTTCTTGTGGCGAAGCTTCAACATAGAAATCTTGTTAGGCTTCTTGGGTTTTGCTTGGAAGGAGAAGAACAGATACTTGTCTATGAGTTTGTTCCCAACAAGAGTCTTGATTATTTCCTCTTCGGTTTGTTTCTAATCCCTAATTCTCTTTATATTCTTGAGTTCATTCTTGAAACCTAGATTTGTTGTAAATATAATATCGAATGTGCAGACCCAACAAAACGTCGACAGCTAGATTGGGGAAGACGGTACAATATCATTGGAGGGATTGCTCGAGGGATTCTCTATCTTCATCAAGATTCACGGCTCACAATCATACACCGTGATCTCAAAGCGAGCAACATTCTTCTAGATGATGATATGAACCCGAAAATAGCGGATTTTGGCATGGCAAGGATTTTCGGGATGGAGCAAACTCGAGCCAATACTAGCAAGATAGCTGGAACCTTGTAAGTGATTGTCATTTTGATGAAACCTTTTGATCTTCAATTGTACATTGTAAACACAAGTCACATTTTGGCACTTTTTTTTATCCAGCGGTTACATGGCTCCCGAGTATGTGATGCACGGTCAATTTTCCATGAAATCTGATATCTATAGCTTCGGAGTGTTGGTTCTTGAGATTATAAGTGGCAAGATGAATAGTAGCTTCTATCAATCAGATGGATCTGCTGGCAATTTAGTAACACATGTTAGTATTTTACTATTTTTTGGTCTCTTTACCAAAGTGATAAAATATTATGGACTGTTTGTTGTTTGTTGATAAAATCATATGTTATTAATGTTAGGCTTGGAGACTATGGAGAAAAGGTTCGCCTTTAGAACTCTTGGACTCGACTATTGAAGGGAATTATCAGAGCGATGAAGTTACAAGATGCATTCATATCGCACTTTTATGTGTGCAAGAGGATCCTGAAAATCGTCTAATGATGTCTACAATTATTTTGATGCTCACTAGTAACACAATCACTTTACAAGTGCCTCGTGCACCTGCTTTTTTCTTCCAAAGTAGCCGGGACCAAGATTCTGAAGACGAGGGCTCAAACTCATATGGGAAACCGATTCCTAGTTCTATCAATGATGCATCGATTACAGATTTAGAACCTCGTTGAAGATGATATTATTTTCTATCATTGAATTTGATGTTTCTTTAGTATATTGTATGTGTTTATTAGGCTGTTTTTTTTTTTATTATAACGAGAAAGGAATAAAACTGAGAGTTTAAGTTGTACCCATTTTTCGTCTCCAAATTTATGGAAACTTTTATTACTAATCGTTGCCATAACTATGTATATGTTATAGGTTGGTCATGATGTTATAGTTTGGTTTATTCCTTGGCTTAATATTTTTCCGAGTAATTCCTTACCTTATGGGCTTTTACTCGTTACTTGGGCTTTAAGCTTTATGTTGATTTTCCTTTTCTCATTTAACTTAGGGTTTTTCTTTATTCCTATTGATATTTATAGCCTTCTTCGTGTTCACGAGAGGATACGTTTTATTGAATAAGAACTAAAGTTTCATAGGTTCTTTATTTCTCTTGAGCTTCGGCTATTGTCAACGATTTTCAAGTTTGTTTTTGTTCGGCTATTCTCGAGAATCAACTAGCACTAGACATCCCTTTTGTTCGGCTATTCAATTGAAATCAACGAGCAACAAGTTTGGTTACAGTTAGGCTGCGTCACTTTCTCAATGAGTACATCATCTCTTGGAGTTATGTTAACTAAATTTTCTCACAATTTGGTCCCTAAAGATGAAGATTTAGGAACTGTTGCAATGATATTAAATGGGCTCATCTTAATGTTAATATGCTTTTTATCTCCACCATGTACAAACCAATCACAGATGAGAAGTTGGAGAAATTTTGGTCTCACGAGTTTGTGGAAGCAGTTTTGTTGTCGTCTTTTGCAGCATGTATAGCA